GGAAGGCAGGAGGTTTATATTAGATTAGCCTTTAATCTGAATGGTTATCAGCATAAGAATCTGCTTCTTTCAGTCACATGTTCACCACATACATGAGGCATACACATCAGTTTAACCTGACACGGAGACACACAAAGCTCATTCATTTCACAGCACCAACACTGAGCCCTAAAAAAAGAAAATTACAAAAATAATCTTACCCTGTACTGAAGTCTTTCATTCTTTTAACTTACAAAAAATACATTAATTTTTTTAACAAAAGTACAACTCTGATAATCAAATAAGATAATGACATTTTCAAAATATAAAAATACTCTGCTCCCTTTCATCTACAGAAGTTTTCTCTTTTGGCAGTTCCCATTATTGGTACCATATGCAAATTGAGGACTGAGTATAACTGTGAGAGAAAGGCCACATTGTCTCTCTGGAGAAGTGGAAAATAGTTTACAATCAACTAAGTTTACCTTGCAAGAATCTGAATTCAGACTGGGTGTTGTGCAATTTAGAGGCAACTGCACAATTCATGTAGAAATAATACCTTAAGCCACATTCAAATGACTCCACTCAACCCCAGCCAGCAGTTTCTGCAACCCTTTTATCACTGGCCTAAGTATTCAGCTTATATAAACTGACATGGACCCATTGCCTTGTAGCTACAGATTTATAGCAGCTGAAAACATAATGCCTTAAAAAACATTAACAGCCTTTACCAGGACTTCTGGTTGTTTTTAAAGCTGACTATTCAGAAATACACAAATATTACAGAATAAATCAAACGCTCAAAACTGTTTTCTATAATATTTTGAAGCCAAGCGATATTGCTACATAACCTACCTACTTCAAAGTGCAGCGGATCTATTTCAAATTCCATCAGACCCAAAATTGTAAACAGGCTTACAGTTTTTATTGTTGTAAACACATATGCCTCAGGCATACAAATCTTGCATTGTCCAAAAACTGAAACAAGAAAAAAAAACCCAAAATCCAGCCTTAGATGTCAATTCAACAGAAATCTTAAATGTAGTTAACTCTTACCCACACACACTCAAAATACATCCTTAGAAATTCAGTCATGATTATGCATTTTGCTGCATTAGGACAGTTCATTAGGCCTTGGACTTCAAAATTGCCTGACAAGGTTTCAATATTAAACTTACTGAGACATTCTATGGATGCACTGATTTTACTTCACAGTGTCTTTCAGTAAAATCTTGCCCAGTTTCCAGCCCCAGCACAGTGAGTTCACTTCCCAGACAGCCCTGAGCAAGTGGACTTGTGGCCACTGCCTCCAAGTGCTCCCAAAGAGCAGCAAACCAGTCCTCCAAAGGCACTTCTGGTACACCATAAAGGCACCTTCTCATAGAGTCATACAGTGAAGGCACTGGGCAGAAATTTGTGTCTTGTCTTGCATTGTGCTAATTTCTTTGAGGTAAACAAACCTACAGCTCTTGGATTCCTCACTCTCCCTTCCAGATTTAGGTATGTCTTCAGAGTCCAGCCATTTTAGCTTAAGCTTGGAGCCAGTCTCTGGAGGTCTCTGTACCTGCACTGACTGCAGAAGAAGCCCAGAATGAACCTTAGTGCTCCAGATGGTGCCTGAGAT